CTTCCATCAGCAAGTTCATTATATGCTTGTCCTACTTTTTTGTGATGTGATATGGTGGGAAAAGCTCACTGGGTGACATTTGAGCACAGATCTGGTGAAGGTAAAATGAATTTTGAAGCTATTGGTTGGGGTGGAGGAGAGGAAGAAAGTATTCTAGGAAGGAGAGAAATACAAAGGCCCTGAGTGCACAGCTGTCGATGTCACGAGGTGAAGAGGAGTAAGACTATTGTGGTTGGACTGAAATGAGCAAGGGGAGAATGGAGAGATAAGGTCACAGAAGGCGACAGGGAGTCACAGAAGAGTGTGTTTGGCTTTTTTAGACAACTGTGATGATTTTGTACTCTGAGTGAGGTGGAAAGCCTTTGACAGTTTCTTAGCAGAGACATTCCTTGAGATAAATTACTCCTTTTTTAATCCTCTTTTCTCCCTGCTTTCCCCCCTCCCTCCCTTCCTTTCTCCTCCATCCATCTCTTGGTCCTCTTTTTTATTGTGTATGTTTGCAATAAATGTTTATATTGCTTGTGTGGAGTTGATACATGGAAACACATCTTAATCCTTTTTTTTAAATCCCCTTTCCCTTCCCTTCCTTCCATCCTCCCTCCACCTCTTGTCCGCTTTCCCTTCGAGAAACATCTGTCTCCCTATTTTATTTTTTAAAAGCTAAACAAGTCTTTTATTGAAAGGACCCCTCAGAGCGCCTAATTTGTTATTCCATACTGAAAATATTCAAGAATATTAAAACCTAAAATAATTTCCCCTTAAAAAGTTTTTCTGTCAAGACATACTACACAGAGAAAAGCTATAATCTCTTCCCATATCAACTCCAATTTCTTATTCTGGCTTACATGTAATTAATTCTTTCTGAACTACCCATGTAATCAGGGGAAAAATATATATCCTCATGTAAATGTGTACATATCACCAGGTGCAAGTTTCAGCCAATAATTTATATTCTAATCATAAGTAATATAAGTAAACGACAGGCAAAAATATACAGGTGGCTCCATATCCTCTGATGGGCGTGTTTGGAATCTCCTCTTGGTATATGTCTGCTCCTATCATTAGAACTGTGCCAGCTTCTCTGGAGGCTGGGATCTCCCTCTTTTGCTTTCTTACACTGTCTAGCTGGAAGCAAAGAGACTATTTAGGTGGTTATTGCAGCAATCCAAGCAGAACATGCTGGCGGTTTGGGCCAGTGTGACAGTAGATTCTGGATGTGCTTTGACGATGAAGTAAGAAAATAGTCAAGGGTTTCTCTGAAATTTTGGGTCTGAATAATTAGAAAGTGAGTCAGAATAATAGGTTGGAAAGTTGCTATGAAATGGGATGAGGAAGACTGCAGTAGACAAGATTAGGAATTTGGTTTTGGGCAGGTTACATTTGAGGATTTATTAGATATCTTGGAAGAGATACAGACCAAGCTGTTGGAAGTGTATTAGAGTTAAGTGGAGAGGGCTAGAGAAACAAACCTGGGAGTCATTAGTTTATTAATGCAATTCAAAGCCCTGTGCTCACCTAAGAGTAAATTAGAAAAGTAAAGAAAGTTAAGGACAACCTTTGGGCCTTTTAAGGCTGAGGCTGAGGACATGAAAAGAATGCATCAAACAGACCAAGAGAGCAGCCAGTGAGGAAGAAGAAAAACTAAAAAAATGTTATGCCCTGGAAATCAAGGGCACATCGAGTCAATGATGTTGCGACAAGAAATGATAATCAGCCATTGAATTAATGGTGTGGCAGTGGTGATGATTTGGATGGGCAATTTTAAGTGAAAAGTAGGGGGCCTATTTGCAGGGCTTCTGAGAAAATAAAAGAACTGTAGACAATATAAGCAACCTTTTTGAGGAGTTCATTGTAAAAGAGAGGCAATAGGATTTTAGCTGGAGATTGTGTTAGCTTTCCATCACTAACAAAATACCTAAGATAATCAACTCAGGGAAAAATTTATTTTGGCTCACAATTTCAGAATTTTCAGCCCGTGGTTGCTTGGCTATATTGCTTTGGGGCCTATGATGATGCAGAAATGTCATGGTGGGGAGTGTATGGTAGAGGTGCACCAAAGGTGCTTAATCTCATTGTGGTGAGGACTCAGAGAGGACTCTGGGGGCTTAACATCCCCATCAAGGGCATTCCCCTAGGGACCTAGCTTCCTTCCATTAGGCACCACCTTTTACAGGTTCCACCACTTCCAGTAGCCTTGTGGCTAGGGACCAAGCCTTCAGTACATGAGCCTTGAGGGAATATTTATGATCCAAACTATAAGAGAGGAGACAAAGTCAGGATGTTTTTTTCTGTCTTGTCTTAGATGGAGAAATAAAATGTTTTATTCTTAGGGATAATGATCTAGCAAAGAGAAAAACTGATGTAAGTCAGTAGGAGAAATTCTGAGAAGAGTTTGAGAAGTCCATTTTAATAAATTTACATGCATATATATACATATATATATACATATATACGTATATATATGTATATTTGTATATATATATGGATTTCTATAGGCTGGATTTTTAAAAGAATTTCCTGAATCGGAGGATACATGCATTAAAAATGTGTACCAATTTATATTCTACTTTTATTTTATACCCTTGCTAACATTGAACATTCCTAATCCTAAAAATTATTTGCACTTGTGTTAGCCAGCTTTCTGTTGCTGTGATAAAATACCCGACAGAAGCAACTTATAAGGAGGAAAGATTTATTTTGGTTCGTAGTTTCAGAAGATTTGGTGTTTAGTTGGCTGGTTTCATTATTTTGGGCCAGAGGCAAAGCAGAACATGGTGCAAGAGTTAGGTGGTGGAAAGCTGCTCACCTAGTGCCAGCCACCAAACAGAGAGGGAGGAGAGAGCGGGAAGGGGTTAACAAGGTACACCTTTCTAGGCTACAGCCCCAGTGACCTACTTCCTCCAACTAGGCTGGACCTCCTACAGTTTGTACTACCTTCCAATAGCCCATTTAACTATGAACAGTTAAGTACTTTAGGAACTGTTTCTTAAAGGTTTAAAAGTCAATGATTAAAATCTTCTAGGCCTGGAGCCTTTGTGGAGGTCTGGCTTTTTTTTTTCCCCCCAAAGGTCTTTATAATGCTTTTTAGTCTTATTAATTGGATATTCCCCCAGAATACCTTTCTTATCCACATTTTCAAATTTATTGGTTTCAAATTCAACATAAAAAGAGGAAATATGTTTTCTCTGTATGTGTAGTAGATCTCTATCCTTACACCTTTATCTGGGCAATGAATGCTGGAGCCATCTACTCTTTCACAGATCTGGAGATTGATTTAGCTGTTTTTAGCCCTTCAGGCCCTTGATCTTGGGGTTATTAGATTCTGGTTCTCTTGTTTATAAGGTTCCTAGACTCTCCTATCAGTTTGATCTTGCTTACTGTGTTTACAAAATTTCTACTGTTGAGGCCAGCTGATGTGTATATGCCATTTTTGGTTTCCAGCATTTTATTTGTATATTTGTTTTAGCTTTTCTGTCATTTTGGATCATTTTGAGGGGCAAATGCATATTTTCAGCTAAACCTTTGAAATAGGAGTCACAATTCTTCCCTGAGTGCTTTTTTTTATAATTACTACAGCCTTTGTTTAATTGCTGGTTGAATAGTAGTAGTTGGATAGTAACTTTACAGCTCAACTAGTGATAGTCAGATGGACATCATTTTTTTTTTAAATGAAACCAAATATCTCATGGAAATACACTCATTGAGAGGAAATGTTGATACGTTGTGACTAAATATTCAGATAGTACTTTGAAAATCTAAAAGACATACCATAACATTTACAACTATGAGGCACTTTATAGATCTTTAGACCAACTGCCTTACTTTATGGATGAGGAATATGAGGCACAGAGATTCATTGATTTATCTAAGGTGACAGTCAGTGATCAAGCAAGATGGAAAGCCATCTCTTTCTTCCATTCTGCTATGCCACTTGCCACTATACACATTATTGCTATTCCTTTTAGCCATGTAGTAAAGGAGGTATTTCTGCTAAAAAGCCTTTTTTTTAACCTAAAGATATTACATATGACTTGGAATTGCTTCTGAAATTTGGTCTTAGATACTTTATGCATTGTGTGAATTTTGCTGTTTCTCACGTATTGATTATTATGATATAAATGTGAATTTTAAAAGAAGGGCTGTCATGGTGTGCTCTACTCTAAATGGAAACCAGATAGCTATTTTTCCCAAGTTTCCTCTTTTCTGCTTGTAGACTTTCTGTGATTAATGGACTGTCTGAATTTCTTATTAATATTTTAAAGAAGCTTCAGGAATATAAATATAAATATGCATGGACTGGAAAAATAATTTTAATGATAAATGATCAAGATTTTTCAGACCTAAGATTTTTATTTTTTAAGCTTAATATAACATGCTACTAGATCAATATCTAAATTTAGAAAGACCCATAATATGTTAGCTTTTCGAAGAGCACTTTGCTTATTTCTTCAGCAGATATTAAGGGTTGTATTTATCAAATTTTTATTGCTTTCCTTGGTCTTTAACTTCAACAAAAAGTTTTTCAAATGTAGGATTTTGATAGCTCATGTTTGTAATCCTGTTTTTAGTACTTTAATAAAAGTATTGAGAGTTTGATAGGTATATTGTTAATATATTTGAGGGGGTTGTTTCCTCTCCAGGCAATTTAAGAACAGGGGAGGTTTAGCCCAACTTGGTGGCACACGCCTGTAATCCCAGCACTTGGGAGGCTGAGGCAGGCGGATCGCTGTGAGTTCAGACCAGCCTGGGCTGCATAGTGAGTTCCAGGTCATTCTCAACTTCATAGTGAGACCCTGTCTCAAAAAAACAAAAGAACAAAAACAAACATAAAAAAAAAATGGGAGGTTGGACGGTAGTTGCTCTAGAATTGTACTCTAAGAACATTTGTTTAATTATCTTCATGTTTTAACTCTTTTAATGCTGTGAAATAAATGAAATTTTGATTTTTTTTGGTACAACTTCTGTCTCTGATATGAATTATAATAATTTATTTTTTCCAGTCGGTCATAATGGCAGGTGAAGAAATTAATGAAGACTATCCAGTAGAAATTCATGAGTATTTGTCAACATTTGAGAATTCCATAGGTGCTGTGGATGAGATGCTGAAGACCATGATGTCTGTTTCAAGAAATGAATTGTTGCAGAAGGTATTTTAAGAATGTAATTCCTAAGGGCCGGGGATTTAGCTCAGTGCCACTGCCTGCTTTGCAAATACGAGGTCCTGAGTTTGATCCCCTGTACTGGAAAAAAAAAAAAGAATGTAATTCCTAAAAATGAATTTCACAAGACAGAGTGCTGCTTTATGATACATGTGGAAAAAATAAATTAGGGATTTATGCTTTTTATCCCTTTATTTAAATTTTATAAACATTTGGGTATTTAAAAGCAAAAAAAAAAGAAAACCCAAAACAAAAACTTTAGTCTGAGAAATTGCTTCTTAAATATATTTTTATTTTGTCTTGGTTTTGAAAAACAAGGAGCACTCACAGCATTCTTTTTGACAGATTCTATCTTTGACCTTTTAAATATTACAATGATGTTATCAGGGTTTCTGGAAACTCTATAGGACAAAAACAGTAAATTGACTTTGACAGTCTAAAACAAATCTCATTATGTTTCTCCTGTCTATGGTATTGCCTAAGTATTTTAGCCTGCTTCTTATACATAAATGCATCATGTTCAATGTTTATATTGAAAAATTACTTTTGACATGAAAGCCCAGATTGTAACTTCTGAAATTAAAATAATTCAGAAGAATTTTTCTTGGATTATATACATTTCTTGTCTAACTAAAGATGATACCCTGAAGTGAAAATTTGTGGGCAAAATTCACTGGTCAAGAACACTTCTTTTTGCAAATTATTTCCAGATCATTGAGTTATTGGATTATAGGAAGTGAAAAAGTTTCTTTGATACGTTGTGCTTTGTAAGAGTTTAAAATGTTACCTGACAGTGTTCAAAGTTTGTGTATTTCTTTTTTCTTTCTCTTTTTTATTAGTTGGACCCACTTGAACAAGCTAAAGTGGATTTAGTTTCTGCATACACATTAAATTCGATGTTTTGGGGTATGTATATTACTTTGGAGTTAATTACAAAGTTAATAATTTATTGTATCAATTTATTGTGTGATTTAGTTTTTTAAATGCCTACAAATTTTATACCATTATACTTCATGGCAATTTTAACAGTCAGATATTTATTTTTCTTAAATCAGAATACTAGCTTCCCTTGAGCCATGTATTACATAGTATTGTATTAGTAATGCGTAGAAGTTGAGTAACTTAAAATTTAATTAGCCATCAGTGGGACTTGCCCTTTTTGTGAGTAACCAGTTTCTTTATTAGAATGCTTTTATTAACATACACATCATTTTATTTCATGAAATCTTTCTCTTATAGTTTATTTGGCAACTCAAGGAGTCAATCCTAAGGAACATCCAGTAAAGCAGGAATTGGTAAGATTTCAGTTAATTTATTTGTTTTGTGTGTCTGTCTGTTGCAGTATTCCCAAAATTTCAGTCACTATCTTTATCACACTAATTATGGAGAATAAAATTAGAGTTGAAATTATGAGTGAGCCAGATCTTATCATGTCTTCGTTTTTTCTTTCTCTTACCTTTATTGTAGAATTGGTGTTCCATATATTATATAAATCTGGATGGGAAAATGTTATAATTCTAGTAATTATTTATAACTTCCATATTATTTTTCCTATAAATTCTTAAAATCTTGTTCATCTCTGGGGCTGCTTTTTTCTTTTAACTCTTACACAATTCTTAAAAGTATATTCTAGTTGATTTACTAGCAAAGACGGGAAAGTTTCTCCCCCACCTTTTCAATTCCTCCATTAATTCATTTTCTCAGCAGTAAAGAATCCAGTTCAGCAACAAAGCTAAAAGCTTTTTTGGCACCAGCTATATGTGTACTGTCCAGTAATTCTGCATTAGTGACATATTTACAGCCTGTAATAAATCTTGTAGGTTTGTCTTTGTATTCCATTTAGATGTATAAGTACAGTATATAAGGTCTGATATCTTGGAGTTTTTGCTGACTTCAAATATTAAATCAAATCATCCAATTTGAAGGGAAAAATTAGAAATCAAACTTAGGATTACCTTTTTGACTTGGCTTTATGAAAAAGAATATTAATAAATTTATTCCTTGTGTTTATAAAATATAAAGTAGATAGATATATGTGAAATGCACTTGACATTGTATTCTTCTCGTCTTACGGTAATTGATATATATGTTATTTATAACTTAGTAAAGCACTTGGTCATTTATTTAAAAATGAGTAAACAAAACTTCTTGTGTTCATTTTTTAAATGTGTGGCCTTAACACATTTTATTTTTTGAAGTTTTTGAGGGAAAAATAAATTCATTTTTAAATATAGAAGTTGGGAGAAATATTTCAAGCAAAAGCATAAAGCAGTATGATACGCAGATTTTGGTTTGACCAACGGTACTGGCTTAAACCTTAAGAAGTACAGGGTTTACTCTCTGTTTTCAACTTTCTAAAATGGACTTTACATTTATAAAATTCTTTTTTCTTTTAACACAAGTTTATTAAGAATAATCAGTTTTGTCATCTGCTTTTTCCCTCAGAACCCATTCTGTGGAGGAGTATATTGATATTCTGGATAAAGGTTGCAAATAAAAAGCATACAAAAGCCTAGTCCCCTTTTCTGACCTTGTGATAGATATCTAATTGATCACAGAGCTATTGTGAGATTGGAAACCTATTTGTCAGCTACATCATAAATGGGGAAAGGCATGGAAAATAGTCATTTTATTCATTCATCCAACATTTGTATACCTACTGGGAGCCAGGCATTATTTCTAAGCTGGATGGTTTTTTTCAGTGAGCAAAGTTGAAGAATGTAGCAAACCTCATACTATATGAAATGGAGGGAGACAAACATAATAAAATATACAATAAGTACATGAATATATAGTATATTAAAAAGTTATATATTATGGGGAAAAATGTAGAACAGAGTGAGGAGGGCTGGAGGGAGGTTGGGTCTCACTGACAGGTTAACTTTTGAGTAGATCAGGAGAAAAGGGAGTAGCGAGGTTGGTATTTGAGAAGGATCATTCCAGATAGAGGAATAAGCTGGGTAAAGGCCCCACGGCAGGGCTGGCGTGGGTGTGTGCTCCCCATGGTGCCTTTCGTCATAAGGCCTGTGGCTTTTACAGAACTCTGAGGGAAAGAGGAAGCCAGGAGAGAGTTTTGAATAGAGTTGCCAACCTTTTACAGTGAAAACGTTCTAAATTTCTACATTTTTCTGTGTGTTTATATAACTGTTTTCATTATTTTAATGAAACTTGCTTTTAAGCAGTGATCAATCTTTATTCTGCTATTTTATGGCTCTCATCAACTTTATTTCTCCATTTGAAGTATAGGATAGCCATTTATACTGATTAATGTCTCACAAGATTCAAAGTGGTCCAGCAATATATTATGTTTCTCACCTTGTAAAGTCTGATTAGAACTATATATTTTATTAGAAAATTTCATGCCCTTATCAATCAGAATTATGAAATGGAATAAAAGATCTTGTTTTCATTCTTCCTATTTAAGGAGTAGATGCTAACATAAAAAGATAAATAGCTAAATCTACCTCATGTATTTTTTTGTTTAGAAAAATTATAGCAGAATTTAATTCTTATGTTGTACATGTATGAGAGCTCAGATTTTAGATTTTGGTCTTCATATACAAACAGTTAATACGTGGATTTGAGTTAATGCTAATTGAAAAGATGCAAAACCGTGTATAAGCAATTCAGCATTCTGTGTAGTAATGTCTTCTTTCTTTGGAAACACTCAGAACGCTTGTGAAATGACCTCTCAGTGTTTGTCTTAGAATATGAACAGACTCCTGGAAAGCATGGCCGCATGTTTATCCTTTTCCCTTGCTTTTACTAGCTCCATGCACTTAATAGGCAATAAATACGTATCTGTTGAATTTAACTGAGGTGTAGTATAATAGCGTATAAAACTTAGTGGTGGTGAACAGCTCAGTAAATCCATTGCCTTTCTTTTCTTTCTTTTTTTTTGTCTCTAAGGAAAGAATCAGAGTATACATGAACAGAGTCAAGGAAATAACAGACAAGAAAAAGGCTGGCAAGCTGGACAGAGGTGCAGCTTCAAGATTTGTGAAAAATGCTCTCTGGCAACCAAAATCTAAACATGCAGCGAAAGTTGCCAATAAAGGAAAAAGTAAAAATTAACTTTTGGTTTTGATGTACACATACTCAAAAAGTGCATCATTTTTATTGTTTTCACAACATAGATGATTTTGTGGCAAGGAGAGGTTTAAAGTTACTCTTTTTGGAATTTGTATTTAAATTTACCCTTTAAATTTGGAGTGCTAAGTATTTTCCCCACCAGAAAGATTGACTTGTCTTTATTGATTTTCCTATAGAGCACTGTGAGGTTTTTAACATTGTGATTTATATTTATAGTTTACCATCTCTTTTGGCAAGGTACTCACTTCTCTATATAGGTCAGTCGTGCAAGCACCATTTTATAAGCAACTATGAAATTTAAGTTAAATGTTCTTTGTAACATTTGTGGTCATTTGTACTATTTCAAATAAATAATCTTATGAAGTATGCTAGCTATAGACTGAATTTTAAGTACATGTATTTTTACTATATAGTATTAATGAAATGGCTTAAATATCTACTTTTTTCTGTGTGGTTAATTCATTATGTTTTCATTGTTGCAGGAATTATTGCTTTTTTGGTATTCAAAGTGTGAAATTAAAACTTTAAGATTGTACTTTAATTCTTGGTATATTGCCTCACCATCATATTTACAATAAAGTATAGTCATTAATTTTAGGTGGAAAATAAGGTTGTATGTTGATGGCTGGCTGTTGGTCCGATGATTGTTACCTTCTTAATAAAGGCTCTAAATGTTGTGTAGCTGACCTGTGTAATTATTTTTTCTGAGTGAATATTCCCTGAAAATGAGGAAAATAGGTTTCAGAAGTCAGATTGAATGGAGAAATATATGTTTTTGTTCTTCAGTGTTCTTGGTCTCACTTTTTCAGATTTTTTTTTTTAATTACTTGTTCTTGAAGTTACATCAAGTACATACTAGTTTCTTGGAACAAGTCTCTTTGTTATGTAATGCCACTTCAGTAGAGGAAAGGTCCAAAGGAGATTATATTGTGTTTATGTTTTGGTTTATTTTTTCTAGAATATTGGTACAGAGAATTCTTCATAGTAAAACCTATTTATGCCTAAGCCTATGAATTTTAATAATATGCTCTTAATGCTTTCAGTCTTTGAAGCCACATCATTAGGAGCAGGTATGCCAAGTATAGTAAAGTACTTTAATTTTTGAAAAAGGAGTTGTTAAAATTTTCTATGTGATTAATTCTCCATAAGTAACCTTGAACAAATGGATTTCTTGATTTATGATAGCAGATATTGGAAATGATCTTAAAATGTAATGGATTTTGTAAAGCGTGTTGAACTCTTTCTAGGTACATGAAGAGGAAGTCAGTGATAGATATAGAAAGTCTGATCTCGCTCTGATGTCAGACAAATTGTGGAGTGGAAGAACATTTGTAAACATTTAATAGTTATATCTCTCCTTTTCCTACCTTCATCCTCTCACATTTCTAGCTATTTCAAAAAGTAATTTCATGGGCTGGGGATTTAGCTCGGTGGTTCCAGCCCTGCCTTACAAGTGCAAGGGCCTGAGTTTGATCCCTGGTACCAAAGGGGGGAAAAAAAAAGATCAAATGTAGTGTGCCTATCTTTGTGTTGCTTATTGCAAAGAAGCTTTTATTGGTTTGTGAAAGTCCAACTCCAAAGTTGGAGATTCTTAAGATTTTTATTTATAGAAATCAAAATAGTTTAAGTGTATTCCATTTTATTAAATATAATTTAAAATATTTACTGCTTAGCACATGACAGGGAGCTAAGTGGTGGTCATGCACTGTATTACTTATTTGTTTATCCATTCCATAAGTATACTTAATGACATTTATATTGCCAGATACTCTGCTAGGTGCCAAGTTCCAAAGATGACAACTCCAGCTTGTATCGTATTTTTATAAAGTGTTAGGAAAAAATAGCTTTTCATTTCAATTCAGTATTTCAGAGTTCCTGGAAAATTTATGACAAATTGTGCTCATTAACCTTAGTCAGAACCATAAAGAGTGATGGGTTCATCTATTTGACTGTGGTGAAGTTATTGTTAACATAGTTTGTTCCAAATGGCAGTCGTTCTAAGTTTAGGTGTTAATTACATCTGTTATTCATCTCTTTGGGAATTGACAAGTTGGAGAGGTTGCAGCTATAGGTATTTTTAAGATCAGAATTATTGATTATTAATCTAATGATCTTGTCTCTTATTATTTTAAGTAAAAATTTCTTCTTGTGCACAGTTGCAGGATGGGAATTCATTTTAGCAAAGTAGAAAATGTTGAGAGAAAAATTGAAGCTTGAATTATGTTTTACATTCCTGGAATTAGGTTATAACAAGATGATGAGTTTTTATTTATTTATTTATTTTTTTGTGCTGGGGATTGAGCTTGGGTCCTTGTACTTGCAAGGCAGGCAGAACCATTGAGCTAAATCCCCAGCCCTTGGTTGATGAGTTTTTAAGGTAACCTATGGCTTAAAATTTTTTCTACTTAGCTACCAGAAATAAACTGATAAGATTTTTAAAGGTTTTAAAATTGAGAAGCAGTGTAGGAAATACTTCAAAAATGGGCAATGTATTGAATGTAGATACTTTTTTCCTAAGTCTGTCAATGGAGAAAAAGATTCTTTAGGAATTACTCAGTTTATGATACAGTGAAATTATAATTTTTACAATAAAATAAAATTCTGGCTTTACAAAGTGAATTATCTGAGAAAGATTTGAATAGTGATTCTGAGCCTTATATAATAGCTAAGTTTGCTAAACTTGGTGTGAATGAAGAATACAGTGAATATTCAACCATTTATTATAGTGAAGACACATTGCCATTAAGCCTCAAAATCCTTCTCCTTGCTTTCAACCTGCTTGTCCTGCCATTCTTGCCACTTTCTGAAGCAGCCTTGGAAATCCTCTTTCATCTTTAGCTGTGTTGTTGTGGGCTGCATTGATGTCCTGAATCAATTAAAAATGTTTACCTTTTTTGCTCATTTTGACTTTGAAGAAGTCAGAAATTGCACAGTGCCAGATTTGGTAAATAAGGTGGATGAGGACACACCAAAATGTTTTCATGAGTCTGCCTTTCTGGTGTATGGCACTCAGTGACATTCACTGTAACCTTCATTACACCTCACAAAGACGTGAAACGGGACTTCCAGAATTGCTTCAGAAAGTGGCAAGAATGATAGAAGTGTGTTAGAAAAGTGTGTGTGTGGGTGGTGTTGTATTTTGAAAGGGATTAATGGCAACATATATTTTATTGTAATACTTTTAAAAAATTTAAACACAAAATGTATTTTTTCTGTCAACCCTTGTGTAAAGGGAAGAAAGAGAAGCACTGATGTTTTATTTTCTTAATAGCATAGGCGTGAACTTGGTCAGTGGCTCTTTTACTGAATTGTCTTGATAACAACCTAATTTGTATAAATGTGATGAGAATATACTTTACTAATACAAACTTCACTTTCTATTCTGGACTAAAGCTCTTCAGTTTGGGAAATATAAACCAAAGTTTGTTTATTTTATATATTAGCTTTTTATAGCTGTCACTAGCAGTTACTTTAGGGGAAATGTGCAGGACTATAATAGAATTTTGTAAATTTGTTCTGTTTGATTAATTTGATTTTGTTTTGCATGTTAGCAGGATTATAAAAATATTCTTTCAGTGTTTTTTATTTGCGATCTGTTGTCCTATTAAGGTCAGAGACTTCGTCATGGAACACCAACTGACTTGATGTGTCTTTTTAAAGTGCTTATTTTATGACATGATTTTTAAGATAGCTGTAAAGATTAGTAAAGGAATCCAGAAAAGGGTCAACTATTGTGACAGCTATTGGCAATTGAGGCTTACTTTTAAATTCCATTCTCCTCCTCCCAAAGCTAAAAACCAACCAGCTCTGGTTCTTGAAAGGCAGAAAGAAAATACTAGACTGTAGTCCCCTTCTTTCTCCTCATGCTTGAAGTTTAGCAGATGTATCATGGCACAGTAACTGCGTGCAGGATGTCAGTTTCACAAAGTGATATGTTTTAGTATACAAAATTTGATGGTGCAAAAAATAAGCTTTTATAAATGAAGCATCTAAGAGACTCTTTTTTTATTATTTGCTTTTCAGTTTAGTGTTGCCTTTAAGGTGCAGCATTTCAGTGTGGCAGCTACAACAAATGACTGAAGAAAACTGAAGGTGATAATTCAGCATTTCGAGATGCTGCCTCTGAAATGAATGTACACGTATACAGGGCTTGGATTTAAAGTTTATAGTCATACATTATTTTAAAGCCAAGTACCCAGGAAATTCATGGTGATACGATTTGAATGAGATGATTAGTAGAAATAGAAAAGAATGCTTTCAGTTCGTTATGTACATATTATCTATTGAGATGCTATGTTGAAAAATTGTTATTACAAAAAGAATAGAAGCTTGTTATATACTATTTTCTATGTAATACAATCCATCTTAGGCCTTCTCCAGAAAGCTTTGGTTATTAAAGTAAAAACAAATCATTATAACAAAGAATCACCCCTGATTTAATGCTTTAGCAAAGGATTGCCGACAGGCTGGGTTGTCCCATTTCTGGTGGGTGTCATTTGACTTGATGACCTTTGCTTTCTACCCTTTCCGTGACTTACTTAAACTGAAATCATTTGCTACCCTAATTCAGATTCTGTATTATTTACTCTTAAAAAAAGAAATGATTATTTAAATGTATATCCAGCACCTACTGCTTTTAGTGGGTTTTGACAATTGTGACTCCTAACATTTGTAATTTTGACTGTGAATGATTTGTAGAAGTCCTTGGAGTATGCAGCATTTTATGGTTTTGCTAGGGCACAGTCTAAATCCTGCTAAAATTTTATGGGATGGCATTACCCAGCTAATGATTTAGCCTTGTCAACTTCTCAGCATCCAAAGCTTTTTCCTCTCTTACACTCTCTCTCATTCACTTATTCACATGTTCATTCAGTGAATGTTTATTGCGCTTCTGGGTACCAGGTTCTGTTTTAGTCACAGGAGATTAGCAGTTATCCTGAAATACTTGGGAGATGTCAAACTTGTTTTTTTTGGTATTGAACTAAAGCCCTTTCTGCATTCTAGGTAACAGTTGTACCATACTGCTCCAAACTTTTAGCATGTGAAAAATAGCTGCTATGAACTGAATTGTGTTCCTCCAGATTCATAATTTAAATTCCTAAGGTTCAATATCTCATAATGTCACCTTATTTAGAAATGAAGTCACTGCAGGTACAATTAGTGAAATGAAGTCATCAAGGTGAGTCCTAATTCAGTGACGAATGTCCTTCTGAAAAGAGGAAGTTTAGACACACAGATGTGTGTGTACATGTGGAGACTAGCACGTGAAAGTGAAGACAAGAATTTGGGGTGATGTTTTGATATTTTAAGGAACACACAGTTGCCAGCAAAGCTTTAGAAGCTGGGGAAGAGGCTTGGAACTGATTTCCACAGCCCTCAGGGATCCAGCTCTGCTGATGCTGATCTTGGACTCAAAAGTTTCCAGAATTGTGAAACCGTACAATTCTGTTGTGTGAGCCAGTCAGTGTATGGTACTTACATACGCCAGTCCCAGAAAATAAGAATGGAGACCATTAGATCAGGGGAATGTGTATGTGGAAGAAACTGACCAGGTGAAAATGTAATTCTGAAAAAACCCCTGAAACCTATGTAAACTTATTTTGGAATATTTTTGAATTTAGGGCTTATCCCTTGAAATGTCAAGGGCTTGTGATATTCTTTCT